ATGTTGTGGGTAACATTGCAAAAAGAGAGAATTTCTCACTAAAACCAGTCTTTCTGATATCATGTAATTTAGTGTAAAAATTGCAACCAGCTCCAACTGGAAATAGTGTTCTCACAGCTCTCCTCGTTTGTACTTTATTAACTTCTAGGTTACCGAGTAGTTCCCGCTCTCCTTCCACAACAAACACTCAGGTACCATCACTAGTGTTTACTCATGGGAATTTCACCACAGTGAGGTTCTTCAGCAGCCCTCCCCCCTGATAGCCATGACTTGCAGCACTGAAATCTGCATGAGGTGTTGTCAACCCAGCTTAGTGAACAAATTGCAAATCAACATGATGAACCAACTGTAGGAACCAGATATCAACAGAAACCACTTACAAACTCAAACCCTTTCTGAGCCATTCAGCTGAAGCACCAGGTGTCTAACATTTATATCCGATGCTGATGGAGGGCAAAGACACAGAATTTCCCCCAAGAACCTTCTCCTGGGTCCTGTTATCCCTTGCCTGCCAGACTTTCTCAAATCAAAAGAAAACAGCATTTATCAAACCTAAGTCATGCTTCACTAACCATGGCCAGTCAGCAGCTGTAACAGGTCCAAAGAGACTTCAGAGTGACTTGTTGCATATTCTCTTTAACAACCACCATTTCTTTTAAGACACTTTTTTTTCTCTTTCTTCTCAGGCACATTTTGCTGATGAGCAGAAAGTCAACTTAATGCCTGTGTCTTGGGAAAGCCTCACTCCTGCCATCAGGATGAATGCTATTATGTAGAGTTCACTGTGATGAACACTTTGGTACTCCCATACCTCTATGATTCAATCATTATCCGAGTGTTTTGCAGCCATGATAAAAATCTCAGAATTAAAATATTTAAAAAAATCAAAAAACAAACCCCCAAATTAAAGGTGCATTATCAGATACACTAAAAAAATGGTGTTGTTTTCTGTTCTTAAAAGCAATGTTCAGTGATTAAAATGACAATAATACGAACCACATTCACAAAATAGGAGCGTTAGCCTTGGGCATATGCTTAAGGATTGGGCTGTAACCAAGGCAACCCAATCTTCTGGAGAAAGTTTAAGTAGACAGTTTTAAAGCCATCCCTCAAAGATACAGTAAACCTGGCTGTAGGGCTACTTGTGCCATATGGAAGGTGCCACAGCCACCCAACACAAAGCACTCATCTTGTAATACCTCACCCTCCTGTCATCCAAATGTTACATTTGATCAGCCACCAGCCAGGTGGCTCTCCTGCAGCGAGAGCATAAGGGTGACACAGAAGCTGTTTCATGTGTTCTGGGTAATTTGACAGAAATTTGACTGTGCCCACATCCTAGCTAGATCAAATCTGTATGATCAGGTGATGCAGAATCAGTCTAGTGTTAATGGCTTACGTCACACCATGCAATGGCTTTAAGTCTGTGCTTAAACTAACGCCAGAACTTAAATATTTTGCTAAATTAGAACCTGATCCTGAGGCCTGTGTGGCCACACAAATCACGGGATCAGGCCTTACTTGCCAACAAATGCTAGACAAGGACAAAGGAGCATAAGCAGAAACTGAAGAATTGAACAGAAATGTCTGTGTGATCTTCCAATTCTTTCTGAAAGGAACAGTTTGGACATTACCACAGCCACAGAAGATGTGAGTTTTTGTCATGGCTAAGTCCACCTTAAGAAAAGCAAGGGCTCTTTGGCAAAAGGACTCCTTTGGAACAAATAAACAGGATATATTAAAAGTATGTGATAAATATGGTGATGAAGCAATATCCCAGTGGTTCTTAATTGCAGTGCAATTGAGATACATCCACCAGAATTTCCTAATTAAATCCTGAAGCATCAGAGGGGAGATTTCCATACCCATGTGGGTGATGAGAGCCTCTGTGATGTACATACAATATTTTTCAAATAGATTTATAGCAATTTTAAAAGGCAAAACCACAGAAGATAAAGAAGAGTGCTTTGAACACTCACTCCTTCCAACAGGCAGATGGCTTTGGTGTTTTGGGGTGAAAAAACTCCCCAATCATAGTACCTTTTCACAGATGTGTCAGCTCTAAAAACTTGCCACAGTACCTCAAATATCAACACTGCTCAATCTTTGTCGATCATATTTCATCCATGGAGTATTTAATGCTTGAAAAGTTTGACTCTTACCTCCCTGCATGGCAGCCCAACTCACAACAGCACCCTAATAACAGAGATCTAGATCTAGATCTCCTGGCTGGCCCTGTGCTTTGAAATGGGCTGGAAGCCCAAACCTACATACCAGTAAGCTTTTCTGGAAAGAGAAAACAGAACTCCAAAAATCAGCAGTTTGGACCAATCTGTGACTAGTTTAATTCCCAAAATGTGTCTGGGAAATTGGAAAGAAGCTCTCTCATGCAGACGGTGGAAGACAAGAAGCCATATGACTTGCTCCAGTCCAGCCTATGGCAGAGCCATAAAAAGCCCAAAGGCTCTGGACTTGAGTCATCCTTGGTCTAAGCCACATTCTGCTGGAAGGCACAACAGCTTTTTTCCATCAATTACCCCAGTGTTATTCAGAAGAGTCTCATCAGCCACTTGATTTAAAGCTAGGAAGGGTAAGGAAGATCAGAGCTAGGTTTGCTGCCTCCCGAATGGCTTATTCTGCATCTGAGTGTATCACATCCTGACTTGTGCTTGTAGAGATGCAAAATCCTCAACAAGGATACAACAGTGTTATCAGTCCCAGCACTGACCTCCTGTGTTTTAGTAGGGTTAGTTCAAACTATATTTCCTCAATATTTGCAAGCTTTTTTTGATGGGTGTGGTGCAGACTGTGTGTAAAAAAGCGAGCTCAGAAGGATCTTACATGCCATGGGTTCAGGGAGCAGCAGCCCAGGTGGAACCTGGCATGAGCCAGGGTGCCAAAAAAATCTGTTTATGTCTGAGGCAGTAAAATTTTTGAATGCCAGGGTAGGAATCCAGTATAAAAAGGCAAACTGCTTCAGCACAGCCTCTATGCTGGTGAAGGACTTCTTTTGCTCAATGATGCCACCCTTCTACAAAGAAGGATTCATTTTAAGCTGTGAATTTTGGGAAACTTCCCTTAAACTGGTGGAGTTTGCCAACATATAAACCATGTAAGTAACAAGAGGTTTCAGACTGGTATTTCTGTATTTGAATTTACTGTACATAGCTGAAGCTATTGAATTTCAGTGCTCTTCCATAAAGGTTAGTGCTAAACTGAAAGGAAAGGCACCATTTGCAGGAGCTGCAATATCACATCACAATTTTTCCTCTTTGTTTTCTGTCGTTCCAGCTCATCTAACTTTTCAGCATTGGTAGATATAATCATTCTCTACAATAGCAATCTCATATAAAGGTGAAAGCACCACATTTCTTATTGTTTTTCAGTGGGAGCATGAAAAAAATTCTTATAACTTACTCCTGAAAAGTGCCAGTTTGTCACTTATATGGTCAATCAGCCTGAAACTGTTTCAGTTCTGCTTCTTAATTTAAGCCCAAAGAAAGGTATTTTCTTTGATTACATCTGCAAATAAGATATTAATGTCAATTCAGTGATATGAAAATTACTCCCTCACTATATAATTTGCACCTTAGTTATTATGGGTTTCATGAACAAGAATATTATAGCTGCTCAGTGTGCTGTGGATTTCTAATTTTTTGATTTTTTTTTTTAATTAACCAAACTAAAAAAAAACCCACAACCACTATTACATAAAAAAAAGATTATCTGCATCCAGTTTTTATTTACCTTGGCATATGTATTAATTCTGGACCAAAAACGAAAATGCTGCTGCTGGCCTAGCACTCTACTGCCATGAATTTCACCAGAGACAAGTTATAAGTGGCTGGGATGAAAACAGAAGAGGAAAAAAGATGCTTACTTTCTAGAATGGCATACTGAAGGGTTTAATACCTTCTTTAGCTTTCTTAAGATAAAAACTGAACAACAGCATGTATTTAGGAGGGTCTTTTTTGCTGCTGTTGAAACAAGATCCTTGATTTTTTTTAATGAGAACTCCAGATCATGTGTGTTAACATCAGAGAAATGAATATCATCCTAAGGCTTGATTCAATCCCTGTTATGGTTGAAGGAAAATCCTCCCATTGCAATAACAGGAGGTGGAACAAGATTCTATTGCTTAAATGTTTACCCAGAGACCAACACTGCCAGTGGTCCCACTAGAAGGGGTGTCTGACAGAGTGGTGTAAGACTTTTTTGAGCATCGCTTTACACTGCAGTTCCATGCAGTAATTTTGGGGGTTTTTAACCACTGGGATTTTAGAAATGTATTTCCAGTGCCATGACCGGCTTATGCCTCTGGTAAATCAAAAGCATGTTGTGTGTGTGTGTGTGTGTGTGTGTGTGTAGTGTATAGTGTGCAAGCTCACATCTTTCTGTGATTTCTCATACATTGTGAATTGGAAGCATCACTACTGAATAAATTTATGCAATAGCAAAGTAAAATTTCATGAGTAAAATTAAAAACCCTATTGAACTGGAAGGGAATGGAGACAAGTAAGGGCCTAAGAAATAACAAATCTGTGTCCCAGGGATACAAGGTCACACCTACACTCAGGTGCACTACAGTCGCAGTTGCACTGTTTGTGTTAATGCTGGGTCTGCTCTCACACCTAGGGCAGTGGAGCTACTTCTGCTGGTGACACAGATCCTATTAAAGTCAAAGGGAACCTCCCCATGACTTCAATGAGAGCTGGCCAGGTTCTCAAAATAACTTGGGAGAAATAACTAGCTCAGCCATCTTTCACCTTCTACCTTCATGTACTTCTTAAGAGACAGGAATCAAACACAAACGTAGGCAGGACCATGTTCAGACCTCCTTCTACAGGCATGTAACTTAGCTGCTGTGACCACTTAACTCCATCAGCTGCAGATACAGCAGCTGTTCTGACTCACTGCCCTCTCGAACAGTTGTGTCTAAATTAGATGCTTGTCACGGGCAGTCTGAACATGGCCTCTCAAACTGCCCTCTTGTTCCAAGGCCTTCCAGTTTTCCTTTTTTTTTTTTTTTTTTTTTTTTTTAAATAGAGATTCAGACCCTAGCCTGGAAAGAAATCATGCAAAGCTTGTGCAATATCCCCCGATGGGCATCCTGGGGAGGGTCACAGTTGATACTCAGAGATCAGTGCTGGCCTTGGCAGTCAGAGCCTGGATCCGAGCAGAGTTGCAGGTCTTGCAAAGGATGTGCCCATCCAGAGGGTAACAGCCCTGATTGTCCCCTTCAGACAGGAGACCACCACAGTCCTAGAAAATAAGCAAACAGAAAGAGGAAAGAAAATAAGAAGGAGCAAGATTAAGCAAAGAATCTATTAGTGAAAAGAATTCTCTCCTCACACTCCACCTTGTAATGGGATCTAGCCTGAGTCAGCGTAAAGCATGAAGCTGAGGTACATGACGTCTTTCATGATTAAGCTGTTTTCTGATAAGAGACAATGCTGCAGAGAAGATGGGTTCCCAAGCTCTCTGCTGAATTTAATCCAATTGAAAGTAAAAAGAGATTACTGCCTTCACATTTTTGAGGAAGCAAAGGTCTTTTAGCATTGGAGAAACATCAAACTGAAGCACATTTGTATTAATTCAAAAGAGGATAAAAAAGAAGCATCACTGGGAAGAAAGTTTGGTACCAATATCTGACTATAGGTAATCTTCTTTGGAAGAGTTAATGCCACAGAGTTACAGATTCCATTCCAGGGGTGACAGTTAAGCAAACTCCCTGCCTGTCTCCCCTTACCAGAACAGTCACCTATGTTTGCACAATTGGCCAAAAAGGTTGTGCCTTAAAGGAGGATGTCAGACAGGCACATGGAAACCCCATTTAAATGCCCCAAAACTTGCTCCAGAGACCTCAGCCTCTAAGTTTATAAGGCTGCTAGGAAAGTTGGGAGTTATCCCTCACCATGTGATCAAACAAGTGCTTGGCCCAAGACTGCTGATGAGGCTGCAGTGAGGGATTAGAGCTCACTTAGGGGCCCTTGCCTCTTCATCATAAATCAGTGTTTGTAAACATACCTGGCAGCAAGTGGTGGAAAGAGGAATATTATTGTTGTTCCTTTTGAGATAGCTGAGGTACATGGAGATCAAGGCCAAGTGAGTGTCTGTGTTCTGTTCTACTGCATCTACTTGTGACATCTGTGTGTGTGAAAGCCTAGGTATCACAGCAGCCAGCATGGAGACATGCTGTATGATGAATTAGGCTGTACAAAATTTAGTGTAGGAATGTCCCAGCATCTTAAAATATATGTACCCTGAAAGCCAGTGCCAGATTGAGAAGTGAACCAGATGCCTCAAGTTTCAGCCTAGACCTTTAAACCTTAGTCTATCCTTCTTTCTTGTTGAAGTTATTAAAACCTGCAACAGTGATAAGAAATATATTTGGTCTCATTTTCTTACCCTGCCATCTGGATGATGTATTATCGAACAAGCAACACTTCCACTGAAGAATTCTTGAAGGTTCCCTAACACAGCTGTTCCCACATGTTAATTGCTTTAAGGTGATTTTTATTCTCTGTCTTCAGATTCTTACCATCAAAATTACATGAAGTGCATAATGAAAGGGAACAGGGAAAGTAGCACAAAAAGCATTGCACAAAACAAGAATGATCATGTTTATGTGTCCATTAAAATTCTTCAACCCAGAGCCATATGCTGAGTTTCCTGTACAATCTTGCTCGAATTCTAACATGCATTAGCTTTCATTTTAAGAACATAAACATGAGCTACGTTTGTATCCAAGCTATAATTTATGAAGTTCTCAAATATTAAGCCCTAATTACCTGAGTCACATTCTCTTGCTCTCCTAATGAACCTGTTATAAACAAGGAACCTGATTTTCTTCTCATTTGCGCTGATATATATGAGGAAAAATTCCTTGCATGCTGAAGTCAATGAAGTAATTTGATTGTACAGCCAGTGTTACAATTGGTTATACCTGTCGTGTGCATACCATGAGGTGGTGATGAAGTTAAGCCAATCTTTACTTTCTGTCCTTCACAGATTTCCTTCACACAGTGATTGGAATACTAACCTCACACCGGTAGCACTGGACATGGAAGTCACGATCCAAGGCAACAATGCGTACAGTCTCCTCTTGTCCTGGGGCCGGCATGATGGGCTCCTTGCACACAGAACATCTCGGAGCAAATTTCCTGAAGAAGGAAGAGACAGTCTCAGTCATCCTCAAACTTGGAGTGAAAGTTTTTGTTAACTGGACCATCAAGCCAGAAACATGTGCATTTGTACAAACACACTTATGTATGTGCACATATGCCACAGCTGGAGCTTTGCACAGCTGCCTTTTTGGAAAGACAGGAAGGAGTACTTTAGTCTTAAAATGTATTTTCGGGCTTGTAGGATATTAAAGAACATTTTGCAGACTTTTAGGAGAGGACAAAGAACATCTGACAGGCAGCAAAGCATATTGTACCTGTCCTAACTAACAACTAAGGTGAATGTCCCATAACTGTGGCATCTGTGCATTGCCATAACCCTTAACCATCTCTCTAAGAAAGCCCATGCAAATCCCAAGGTTAGAAAGATGACCACAATTTGCTTCAGGAGGATCTCTTGAAAACAAACCCCAAAATATTAAAATTTCAAGATTGGAACAAATAGGTTAAAAGTCTTGATACAGATGGTAAAAAGAATGCACCACACTCATTTGTTGAGGTTTATCCCATCCACTTTAAAATTCGGAGCCATCTTACCCACTTATGCACACAGGAGCACATTCCTGACTCACTCTCAAATAAGAAGATCAGGGCAATTCTGACTTGCTGCATTTTCTAGCTAAAACCAACTCTCAGTTATCCAATAGCGGATTGCCCAGGCCTAAAAGGGAACAGGTCTGGTTGCAGAGACACCAATGCTCTCTCTTCCAGTCAGCCTTAGAATTGTATAGGGACAATAACTCACTGCGTGAAGGGACTCACTTGAATCAGGGTCAACTCAGGGATCAAGAGAAGCAGAGGCCTTTATTTTTCCCCTTATACTGCTCACCATATGCCCTTCTGGCTAATTCACCTGCGTTCTATATTAACTCTGGCTTTGCTCCCCTGAGTTCCCAAGAGAAGTGGCCATCTCTACTCCTAGGCAGGTGGGGATGCTTGGGAACATTTAGCCTGTGGTGAAACATTATGTGCTGTTTTGGTTCAAAACCTATTGGTACCAATTCCCTGGCTGCAAATTCTGGTTACATAAAAGGAAACTTAACACCTACAGAATCTGCTGCCGTATAATGAGAGCCGGGGTCAGGGGCTATGGGGGACAGAGGGCAAAGCTTATGGCAAACATCAGAACACGAGGAGATCAAAGGCCCTTCTCTTCTGAAATGCCTACTAAAGATTGACTCTGCCACCCAGCCTGTCACATAAACCATCTCAGAATTAACTAGCTTAGAAAAGAAAAAAAAAGAAATCTATCTGTACTAGGAATAAAGAAAAATATTAATTTCACTGGCAGCAGATGAAAGATGTCTGTGTAGCTGCGATCTAACGAAAAAATGAATTAAACAGTGGCTATAGCAAGCGCTCTGAAAAATAACTTAAATGGATCATGATATGACCAGAGCTGTAATCGCAATTAATTATATGCTGCTTCATGTAGGCACTTCCTTGTGCCATTTAGCTCAAATGTGGTATTTAAAAATACTTCAACATTTCTTTGTCCAAGCTACAGTCAATAATTCAATATGAGCCAAATATTATCTTCCAGTACCCTGAGATAACTCCTGCAGATTTTGGGGGTTGTGGATGTGCTACTCAGGGCCTGAGCTCAGGGAGAAGCTCGGTGACAGTGTGAGCATCAGCTACAGTTTTGTTATCAAGAGGATGTAGATGTAGAACACTCAACCTCCAGATAAGGAGCCCTAATCAATTAAAACTGGGCTGGGCAAAGTGCTGCAAAATGTGTGGCTGGCCAAAAACATCCTGAGTGTCACACTGGATCTCATGCTATTCCCATCATCTTCCCTTCAGTCTTTCACTCAGTGATTTTTATGTCCTTTCCTTGGATTGACAGCCTCCCACTTCCCACTCTCAGAGCCCCGAGGTCCATATGCAGTCACTGCCAAAAGACTTCAGAGTGGGACATCAAGCCTTTCTCCTGAAAGCATCTGAGCCCTTGGCCTGTGGGGCTTGTGGAAGGAGCAGCCTCCAAATTGCACCCTTCAGATGCCCAAGTGGTGCATAAACCTCCTGTTGGACCTCTGCTCAGGACCACATTTTACCTTAACATACAACTGGTGGCACAGAAAGGCAAGGTAATACAGCAGCTGCCAATTAACCCAGCCTAGCTGAGCTACAGGGAATATCCTTGTGTTGGATTCTAACATGCCAGTTGATTGTGGCTGCTTCCCTTTCTGTCAAGTCAGCCTACTTCTTTGAGCTTTCAGACCCACACACTGATGTCACGAGGCTCTAATTAAGTCTACCCCCCTAGAAATTAAGAGATAAATGGTTGAGATGTAAACTCACATTTGTCAGTATTGATTTCATCTTTTAATTGAGGGGTGTAGTGTATCTGTCTTTTCCATACAGGGCAAACATTTGTGCTCTGATTATATCTACCTGTCTTCCCTAGATTAGTTGTGATGATGGGGGTGGTAGCGTGGCAGTGACAGAAATTACTTGCAACTCTACCTTTCAACTTACTTTAAATAGCAGTTTCACTATAAATTATTACCAGGGCTGTATTTTCAGCAGCTTTAAAAAGCTAATTAGCAACTAGAAACAAAAGGAGCTCTGAGCAGCCTGTGGCCACAGAGATCCCTCTAGCTGGTAAGTAAACACCTGCAGAGTGCAGCAGGACAAGACCTCTCTTAATTGCTCAGTGGAAAAAGCAGGGAGATGCTGATGTGAAAGTGCAGGTACAGGCAGTGAGGAAAAACATGCACATACTGAGTGCAGGGGAAGGCAGAGCACTTAAAACAGAGGGAACACAGAGGTTATCCCTGAATTCAGCTCTAAGTGAAACAGGGATCAAGCAGCATCAGTCCCTAACCAATTAATCTTGTATGCCAAGGTGTGCCTGCTTAGAGCAAAGCTCTGCCTAGTATTTAAGAGCCTTGGGAGGAAATGGCAGAGGGTTCAGATCTTCTTGAATACTCAGGCTGAAAAAGGAGGACTTTTAGGGACAAACGAAAAAAGACAATAAGCAAAGCACTGACAGCAGCTTAGGCCATACTTATGGAAATCCTCGATGCAATGGATGTTCCCGCCAGCATCCACAGTGAAGGGGATCCCATCCAGGCTGCGATGGCACATCACACAGGTGAAACAGTGGGGATGATAGGCCTTCCCAGTGGCTCGGAGGATCCTTTCCATGATGGGCTTTGTGCAGACACTGCATTGCTCCAATGTATTCTGCAAAGAAAACACACAACAGATGTGAGCACCATCTCAGTGGGACATCTACAAAGGTCAGCTGGGTTGAAGGCTGCTGCTGGTCTACTTGGAAGCTTTAGCCATTTCTTCTAGATAAGTGCAGTACAGTCAACAGTTATCAAAGAGTATGGTAACAGCACAGGGCCTGGGTCAAGCCTTTATATAGTGTGACAACACAAACCAGAGCCTTCTCTCAGCAGCTCTGATAAACGATCAGAGATGGCCCATCAGATGGGTGTGTCAGACACTGCAGCTTCTGTAGCCAGGAGCACGTGAAGGAGTTCTGCAGCCTGCACTCCTGGGCTTTTGCCTGTGGACTGCCCAGTCTGAGCGACCTTTTGCAGCAGAGATGATTAGAGACAAGCTCCAACAGCGGTCAGTGCAAAGCTGAAGTGCAATTTCCTGGGGCCACACAGAGACCCCCTAACTGCTCTGCCAATACAGATCCCATAAAAATATCTTTATCTGCCTTGTATGAAAAATCTTGATCTTCTCTCTCACCACAGAGAATACTGTTGAGTCTGGGGAGAGCGCAAAGCAGAGGCTGCAATGAAAGCATCGCAAGGACAGGAGTTCAGGATGATTTAAATGGTTCATTTATCTCTGGCCCACAGTGTTTGAGATAATGACTGTGAAATGCCAGCTCTAAGGCCATGATCCTTGCTGCACAGGTTTTACATATTGGCCTGCTCCTGAAGTGTTGGAGCCAAAAAAATTCCCACCTTTCAAGTGGGGTCCGTTGAATGATTCAACTCATTTCAACCCTCACTCACCCCTGCAGTTAATTATAGAAACACCAAGATCATTTTGTTTCAGACGGCTGTGTGTGAGCCACACCAGCCCTTCTGACACCAGCTGGGTAACTTACCCTTTCAAACCAAGCACTTAAAGACACATGCCATAAATGGAGAGTGCAAACCACATAGATGCAAACAATATGATTTGGATCATTTCACTGGACTTTAGGAAAGCAAACTTTATCTACCCTTCTTGCTTCATGCACCTGAAGTTATCAAATAATGTCATCAATCAGCATTTGCATCTTGGGTGAGGGAGAAAAATCTATAAGTACACTACTGATTATCATTTAGATAGATAGAAATAAGGAGGGTGGAGAAAGGAAAAAATCTAACAGGATAGAAGCATAAAAAGCTGCTGAAAGGCAGATCACGTTGACAAACACAGGAGGGCTTAAGTTCTTCTGCTTCCTCATGCAACAAAATTCCCAGGGAAAGTAGTGCTTTGACTGACCGCATTGTTATTGTTTCTTTGAGCCAATATTCTCAGGGGCAAGATCCAGTCCTTACATGTGCAGCCAAAATGTATTGTCAGATGAATCACCCAGGAGCTCAGAAAGGTTACTTCTACATTCATACATTTCCTATCATACATATCTCTGGGCTGCACGTGACTGGTAATGTACAAACATACAAATACACAAGTTCATATCAGAAGATCAAAAGGATTGTTTTTGGAAAGGTCTATATGAAAAGTCCTGAATTTTAAACCATGAGTACTGCCTCACAGATTTGTAAAGAGAGTAGAGCCAGACTAGCATTGAATTCAGACTGGATTTTGCTTTATACCTTGTAATAATGGGCAGGAAAGAATGACTGCTGGCCCTTCTGTTGGGTTGCTGTCACCATCATCATCATTATAACAGTAGCTAGTATGCCAGAAAAAGCAAGGTCAATAATTTTCTCCTTGGAGAAATAAACTGGCAAATTTGCCATTTTGCTTTGCATAAGCAGATCACATCATCTCAGTCCACATCCACGCTGTTCTCTGTATTTTTTTGCCAAGGAAGGAACGCAGCATACCTGCGGATACTGATGGAAGATTGTGCCATTCATAAGGCGTTTGCTATGACACCTTCTGAATACACACAAGTACTTGGTTTGCCTCACCAAGTCACTGCTTGCTTCTTTTCCAACAGTTGCCAGCGAGAGAGGCCAAAATATGAGAACAGGGCTAGCAAAACACAGCAATTCCTTAGGATGCGCTTCCAGCCTCCACTGATTTCTGGTTTAGAGACTTCCTGAGACAGAGTTTGGCTTTCCATATTTTGCCTCAAGTGGCATGTTTCTCCCATGAACTTTCTTGACAATTTTTGAATTCTGATAAACATTGAGCACCCACAACATGACCAGGAGTTCCCTGGCATACAACCACACTGGGGGCCGATCAGCCCAGCAGTTCCCCTGGTCTGCTACCACCGCCTAGGGATGGGCCCTCCAGACAGCAGCACTGAGCATAGCCCATGCAGGACTGTGAACAGAGCAGAACCCTGCAGCACCAATCCACCCTGCAAAGGGATTTAGCACCAAACACCATGGCCTGGAACTTCTCTCACTCCTGCTCACACATTTCAGATACACTGAGTTTAAGACTGCAAGGGATCATTAGAACCATCTTGTTTGAATTTTCATGTTAACATTGACTTTGGTGGGAGTTTCCCAGTGACCAGGACAGCAGGCAATCACCCTTATGGGTTATGCCTTCTGAAAACACACATCTTCTGCTCCCAAATCTCAGCTCAGTCACACTGTTTGACATTCTCGCAGCTAAGTAAGACAAGCATTTTAAATTAACCAACTCCCGATTAAACCTTCTATACAACCTGAAAATGAGACCTGAGAAATTTATTCTTTTCATCCTTCAAAGTCTGTACCAGTGAGAAAAAACAAAGTAATTAGTTTCAGACTCCAGCTCACTCCCTGTCTGGGAGTGTATTTGCTTAAGTCACTCTCCTTGCTAGAACCCTGGCTCAGACCCTTCTCTTCAAGGTGTTACCAGATGATGCCAATGGGAAAGCTTCCTTGATTCACACCCATTTGACATCAGGTTGCTGTAAGGCAGGATTTGGCCTGTGGAGCTAACAGAGTTTTCTTTGACTCTCTAATCAGGTTATCCCACATGCCAAAGTGCTGCCCCAGCAGCTAACAACCTGCACAAAGGTATTTCTGCACATTATGAGAACAGCATCCCTGTTGGATTATAAATTTGGCTTCTTGATTTTGCTCTCTTTCACAGTTTAGCTAACTCTCCTAACACCTCCTGGAGCTTACAAATCTACAAAAAGCCAAACAAGATGAAGAAAAATGCCTAGCAGCCCTATTTTTCTTCTTCTCTCCCTCCCAAGCTGTTGTTACAAGCCCTCTCTGTAATCAACAGGTAGAGCTGAGTGCTTCTGATCAGCTACACCAAGGGCTAAGGCAAGGCGCAGAGAAGAAAGATGAGAAACAGTTAGGAAAAATCAGGCCTAGGGGCTGTGGTCAAATTCATAAGAATATGGACCACAAATCCAGTGTGGGCTGAGGGGTAGATTTATTATCCTTTTCCCATATTTTGTCTAAGAAGCAGGGAGTGCCCTTCTTTTTTAGAGAGACTTGTGTCTCCAAATCCAATCTAGACTTGAAAAGCGCAGGGAAGGAACCATCCATTTCTAAATGGAAGGTTGGCACAATGTTAAAAGCTGAGTCTGGGTTCATGTTTTTTGAAGGCAGAACTGCTTACCCACGGCAAAGAAAAAGAATTGCACATGGAGAGAATAATGCACCCTAAAACAGCAGCCAGAAAAATAACACCAAGCAAAGGTACAGTAAAACCCAAAGAAAGAACTGAAATGACCGGGGTATCAAGCATCAGCTTGCAAGTAAAAACTCAGACTTAAACATATACAACACAATCAGTGGCAAAGTGGGAACAAGCTGCTTGGGACCAAGCATCTAGAAGCAAGTGGTGGTGGGAGTTGTTTGATCTCCCTATAGCAATACTTGTTCCTTCAGAAACCACAGAAAGCCAAAGGGAATCACTCTGCAGATGTTAGGTTTAAACATGGGACATGAAGTGAAAACCCAGACTGCTGGGAAAGACTTCTGGGTTGCAAGGGCCACTGAAGACTGGAGCTGGGAAGTGTCTGAATCCCCTCCTGAAAATTTCACATCCCAGATGGCAAGGTGACAAACAGCTTTGGGGAGCAGAGGTGCAGTGACAGCCTATGGGCTGCAGCTCATCCTGCTTCCTTAATGCTGCAGATTATAACCCATCATAACCAAATTTTGGGTTACAGCAGTAACTCACAAGGTCGTGCAACACAAGGACACTCCCACAATGACCTAGCAATGAGTGCACAAGAAATGCCACACAGACACTTAGCCATTGCTTCTTCTGTATTGGCAATGCATCCCAAACTCTAATGAACATAAATAATCTCTCCTGCACTCTGAACAGCAGACAGAGGAGAGCTCATGCACAGGGACATGAGCATGATACTGCTTATTTTGCTCAGAGAGGGGAGGGAAGTTGCTGGAATAAATTACATTGGCAACTCATGCACAGGGACACAAACTCACTTTCTATGAGCACTGCAGGAGAAACACATTTTTCGAAGTGACTGAGCAGAGGAGATGGTATTAAGCTGCATGAATCAAAAGTGACTGTTGTGCTAAAAACAGGCACATGGTTAAATACTATAGTTGAACTGTAACTTAGGAAAGTGTGGTAAGTGACTTGCTTTAAATCTTGTGACTCCGTCCTTCATTTCCTCAGACAGCAAGGAGAGCAGAGCAGCAGATATTTTCCCCTTTGTGGGATAATTTTTGAGGCTTGAAAATGTTTCCATACTTAAGTGAAGACAGAACACTTTAATCTCAAGAAGTCTGGTGAATTTATAAACCCCAAATTAGATCAGGTCAATTGAAACAGTGCACTTCAAATAATTTCAAATGGTTTCATTTAGGTTTTGGGTCTGAAAATATATAGTTGGGTTACAAATTATATATAAAGCAGACATTGGTGGAGGGGTTAAGTGTCAAGATGTAATTTCAACAGTTTCAAACACTTTTTTGGCATTATTTCTAGAAAAGGAAAATCCAAGACCCGATTTCCACCTCAGGCTCCCCAACTGCTACCTCCACAGATGGGTAAATCTTGGCAAACTAACATTTAAGTCACTAAAAGCCATCACAAAATTCCTT